CCTCAAGACGCCATTGTTTTCGGTCTTCAATTCCTCACAGGTCATGTGGTACAGTTCCCGTTCTATAAGTGTAGAATTCTGTGATCAGAATAACAAGGGAAGTAACTTTTATTATTTCCAAAAAAGTAATTATCCAAGCGTGTTATACTTGTATATTGACTAATATCATATTTATCAATTAAATATTATTTTAAAGTTTAATCTTCGTTGATTTATATAGTTGATCATTTAGTATATGTAGTGATAAAGTTAATGTAAACAACAATTCAAAAAGCAATGCAAATGACCTAAACAGTGGGTTTTTTAAGGTTTGATAAAGTGACTATCAAATGTCAATTTATTGCAAAACTTTCATGAACATTTCATTTATTCAGGCTGATATAGGCCTTTAAGGTTTGATAAAGTGACTATCAAATGTCAATTTATTGCAAAACTTTCATGAACATTTCATTTATTCAGGCTGATATAGGCCTTTAAGGTTTGATAAAGTGACTATCAAATGTCTATTTATTGCAAAACTTTCATGAACATTTCATTTATTCAGGCTGATATAGGCCTTTAAGGTTTGATAAAGTGACTATCAAATGTCAATTTATTGCAAAACTTTCATGAACATTTCATTTATTCAGGCTGATATAGGCCTGAGTCTAGATCTAGATCTCTGACTGACGCTATTTACTAGATCTATTTATTTATTTAGTCGTGTTGTTGTAGATCATTTTGATAATTAAAATGTATTTAGATCTAGATCTAGATCTAGTGTCCACTATCTACCCATCGTGTTTATCTGGTGTGCTGCTACAATGTCTGGACGGAAAAAGCAATTCCCAAACGTCAGTTGTGCTAATTACGTTGAAAGAGGAGAGTTTAGCTGCACCTGACAAGTCGCATTATTATGATGACCCTTTAGAACAAATGATTATTTTATTCGAGAAATGAACCGAACGTAACAGTAACAGCACCATACTCTGGCGTAGATCTAGATCTAATCCCCCGGTTCATTACCGTGCCCATCATTTGACTCTATTTGAAACAAAATTAAGGGCACCGTAGATCTAGAAAGATGTAAACCTATACTCGACTATAAGAGACAGGGAGACTAGTGCTTGGTTGCCTACGGTGTGCGCGCTTTGCAGGGAAGTTTTAAAGTTATTACTAGGCCTAGATGTAGATCTAGTTCTAGGCTGATTTGCTTAGCCTACACAGAGGGCTAGAAGTAGAAGGGGAATATACATCTAGTGCGCGGAGTAATTTATGCAATTTTTTATATTTCACGCGTGAGATATCAGCTTAGCCAGCCTGTATTTCTCGTGTGAGATATCAGCTTAGCCAGCCTGTATTTCACGTGTAAATTATAAGGATATATTTTACCGGAAGTCCAGCGCTAAAACAGTCCAAGTATGGTATAAAAAGATGATACATGTACAGATGTTTGATCAGAAAGAAGGAGCAAACCACACCAGAGCACCGGCCAACAATCCTCAGTATCACCTTTATCTACTCACCCTTATCCCTCCCTCTATGTATCACCTTTATCTACTCACCCTTATCCCTCCCTCTATGTATCACCTCTATCTACTCACCCTTATCCCTCCCTCTATGTATCACCTCTATCTACTCACCCTTATCCCTCCCTCTATGTATCACCTCTATCTACTCACCCTTATCCCTCCCTCTATGTACCACCTCTATCTACTCACCCTTATCCCTCCCTCTATGTATCACCTCTATCTACTCACCCTTATCCCTCCCTCTATGTATCACCTCTATCTACTCACCCTTATCCCTCCCTCTATGTACCACCTCTGTCTACTCACCCTTATCCTTCAGCATCACCTCGATGTCCCGGTCTTCCTCCATGTACCTGAAACATAAATATATATATATATATATATACGGACAAGGAAATATATGGACAGTGTTAGTGGTGGAGGACGTCACAGTGAAATATATGGACAGTGTTAGTGGAGGATGTCACAGCGAAATATATGGACAGTGTTGGTGGTGGAGGATGTCACAGGGAAATATTATATAGACAGCGTTAGTGGTGGAGGATGTCACAGGGAAATATATGGACAGTGTTAGTGGTGGATGTCACAGGGAAATATATGGACAGTGTTAGTGGTGGAGGATTTCACAGGGAAATATATGGACAGTGTTAGTGGTGGAGGATGTCACAGCGAAATATATGGACAGTGTTAGTGGAGGATGTCACAGGGAAATATTATATAGACAGTGTTAGTGGTGGAGGATGTCACAGGGAAATATATGGACAGTGTTAGTGGTGGATGTCACAGGGAAATATATGGACAGTGTTAGTGGTGGATGTCACAGGGAAATATATGGACAGTGTTAGTGGAGGATGTCACAGGGAAATATATGGACAGTGTTAGTGGAGGATGTCACAGGGAAATATATGGACAGTGTTAGTGGTGGAGGATGTCACAGCGAAATATATGGACAGTGTTAGTGGAGGATGTCACAGGGAAATATTATACAGACAGTGTTAGTGGTGGAGGATGTCACAGGGAAATATATGGACAGTGTTAGTGGTGGATGTCACAGGGAAATATATGGACAGTGTTAGTGGTGGAGGATTTCACAGGGAAATATATGGACAGTGTTAGTGGTGGATGTCACAGGGAAATATATGGACAGTGTTAGTGGTGGAGGATTTCACAGGGAAATATATGGACAGTGTTAGTGGTGGAGGATGTCACAGCGAAATATATGGACAGTGTTAGTGGAGGATGTCACAGGGAAATATTATATAGACAGTGTTAGTGGTGGAGGATGTCACAGGGAAATATATGGACAGTGTTAGTGGTGGATGTCACAGGGAAATATATGGACAGTGTTAGTGGTGGATGTCACA